GTGTGTGTGTGTGTGTGTGTGTGTGTGTGTGTGTGTGTGTGTGTGTGTGTGTGTGTGTGTGTGATTTGGTTGAAACCTACATTTGCCAATTAGGTTGGCTGTCACCGTGGCGACTACAGCTCCAGGTAATCCCATACTCAGGAAGAGGGGGAGGGGGCGGAGACTGTTCACCTCCCATTTACTGCAAATAAAGACTCGGAAGATGAACCTTCTCACTTTCTCACTTTTTTAAATTACTTTTTTACATTAATACTAACAAACAATAACTGCCTCCCACCCTACCCTAAAATAAAATACAACTTTTTTTTTCAAAAGCGATTAAAATATGAGTTTTATCTTTCGTGTGACTCTGTATGGGTCATTAGTAGAAATGTGACTGTAAATGATTCCCTCTCTGTCTCTTTGAGCTTACCATATGATAGACTGTCCAGAGTGTATCCTTTTTCTCACCCTGTGATTGAGAGTTCTTTTTTTTTTCTCTCCATCCGTTATGGTTAAAATATTGCTCGAAAGCATTTCACACCATGAGTTAAATATAATATATTTGTTTTAGTTTTATAGTCAACTTTATTCTAAACTTACGATTTTAACACTTAACTTAAGATTCTAAAACAAGACATGGATTATACTGCTGCCTGTTAGTGTGTAGACCTTTACAAAACCCCAGCAATCATAAATATTAAAGAGTTCATGAACTTTGGTGACTGTAGGAGAGCAATTCACTGGAGCTTTTCAAAATAAAACCCATCACAGTCATTCTGAAATCCAGTTTCTGTGTGTCTACTAGTTTAGTTGTAGTCTAATTCTAGTATCAAAACTTTGGTACTGGTGTTTTTCTACTGAACAAGAAATGTTGAAAAATATTTGTGCTTAATTAAAATACAAACCTTTGCAGTGAAAATACAACCTAGAGTATTTATAAATATCCATTTACCATCCTTCGCTATTCATCAATAGTTAAAGAAATAAGTACTCAGCATCACACATTCAGGACCACCCTGCACAAACATTTTAGTTAGTGCCCAAAAACATTGAGGTTACTTACCCTGTTGTATTATAAAACAAATTGTCAATTTTACTAGAAAAGCCACATCCTCTGCTGGATGGTTTTCCTTTAAATCATCAGGAGTTTGAGATCTGTGAAATGTCTTCTAGGTGTATTATACTTGTTGTGGCTGTGAGTTTGTTAAGTCCGCTTGGGTCCAAATAATGTAAATGTTGTCATTAGGTGCCAAGATTGAGTCTGTGACAATTTTTTGTGACCATGCGTTTATGGAGACTTCACATTTCAGTGAGCCAACAATGGATCAACACTTCAAGCAGACCTCAAAAGCGCTGTAAGAGGACTATAATGTCAGTGAAGTCTGTGTCCTTGACTTAGTATAACCACCTCATTGAGCTTCACAATAAACCCTTATTTAGACCGAAAGACGGTTACCCTTTTATGTTACTTCCTGTGTTATTTTACCACTCTCACACTAGTTTTTTTCCACCTGTCCATCAGGGTGGTGTGCGTCGGTGGAGATGGTTCAGTTGCAGAGTTGTGTCATGCTCTGGTCCTCAGAGCCCAGCTGGATGCAGATTCCCCAGAAAAACCAGTGAGAGCCACACTGCCACTGGGAATCATCCCAGCTGGTAAGCAAGGGCATTCTCATATAGAACCACTGCTTTAAGGTCTCATAAGGTTTGGTATGCTGGTATGCAAAAACACGACATGAAGTACTTTTATTAACGGTCTGTCTTCACATGTTTGCAGGTTCCACAGATGTGGTTTCCTGTTCTGTTCATGGAGTCAGAGATCCAGTCACTGCAGCCCTCCACATCGTCTTGGGTAAAGCTTACATGTTGTAGATCTGTTACATAGATTGGGGTTGGTTGGAATTGTCTTTAGTAAATCTATATTTGGATCACCTAGCGTCGTCTATGCCTTTTTATAAATCAGTCCAAGATTTTACATTTTCAAGGACAAAAATCTGTTCTGTTTTAATATTAAATCTGTGGCAATCATAGCCAGGTTCTTTGTGTAACAGACTAATTTCCTTAAAGCATATCGGCTGAATGTCAGTCCGGCAGCAGGGACAGTGTTTAAGAACAAACAAACATGCAGACAGACGGTGAGACTGGACTCTAGTGGGAGTGAACAGACAGATGTCTAACAACAGAGTCTGTTTCACTTGAAATCACTAAATCACAGGTTTACACTGCTCGCAGCAGCCCCGCCCCCTTTGTCTCTGACCACCACACTGTCAGGTAAACACGGTAACCAATCACCCAGCAGCAGGGCGGGCAGCTGTGTTTGAATGACAGCTTATCGTGTGATGATGTTTCATTGTCACTAATTAATACTGCGAGCTGAGTTTGTATGTGTGTGAGACAGATGGGAAAATTCAATAGCCCTAATGAGACTACTTCCTGAACAATAGAAAACTGTTAAAATTCCCAGGTAGGAAGCTGTTCCCACGCACAACAGGTGACTGCAGGTGAATTTTCCTATCTTCATAACACTGATGAGGTGTGCTCATCCACAATCACATGATCTCCTTGCTGGACGTTAAACTACTAACAGGGGCGGAAGCATCAGTGCTGTTGCTACGGTTACCAGAGCCTGAGCATCCCTTGAAAATAGCGGCTTAACTGTTGACCTTTTATCAACTTATGTTTGGGAGTTGCAGCTGACACTGAAAATTTTCTGTATGTGAAATGGCCTTAGCTTGTTTATAGGTGTGTGTCAGACCTTTTGTATTTCTGGCTGTTTTTTTGTATCTAAAAAAGCATTTCAGCTGTAGAGATCTACAGGCGAAAACTACAACAAATGGCTGCAGGCTGCTATCCAACAAAATAAGCATCCAAAATTAAACTAATGTTTGGAAAAACTGTTTTTAAAATTCATTGCTCTGTTTAACAGAGGCTGGAAAATCCTTCATAAGGGGGCCAATTCTGTCCTGATCTCTAAACATAAATATATAAAAGCATGACATGGAAGTCACCACCTTGACCACTTTACAATAATCTCATGAATGATCACCTTACCTGTTTAAAGCAGTTTGCCTCGTTCATTGTTGTACGAAAAACTACTTGCTCACAGAGTTTAAATTTTTTTCCAGAAGTTCAAAACCTGCTGAGTCTTTTCTAGCCTGGCTTGTTAGAAACCTTCACTGCAACAATGAGTGGGACAAAAATAGAGACAATTTTAGCAATATGTGAATTTCTCTTTTCTGATATAGCAAAACCCAAAGCAATGCAATAGCCTATACACTGAAACTTCAACATACTGTATCTCTAGACTCACAAACAGATTCAATATGATATTGATATATATTAAATTAATACTCAACGGTTGGCCCTCCTGGTGTTTGGAGGGGTATCTTTGTTGGCACCGTCATCATAGCAGTAACGAACAACCAGAAGGCAAGCTGGTCGAGGTTCAAATAGCAATTAGGATTAGCCAAGCTAGCTGTCTGGGAGTAACAACGGCCTGATGTAACTCATATACAACAGTCTGAATAATTCGATTTTTGACATTTTGATGCCAGAAGTACAAGCAATACGGCCCATTTACAAGTGCATAAATGAAGCATGAAACTGGTACATGTGAACCCTGCTTTACAAAGATGTGAGTCTGCATTTTTACCTGCATTTATCCACAAACCAGTAATTTTTGTGCAGGTCATCTACTAATTAGTAGTGGGCAGTGTAAAAAATGTTGTAGAAAGTGTAGAAAGTTTTTTGGGTTTTTTTTTCATTATGAACACTGTTCACTTCAGGCACATTACAGAGATTTCTGCCTTGGCACAGAATGACTATAAATCTACCTTCATTAATGATTCACTCAAGAACTTGAACATTGGAAGTTATAAGAACTTCCACAAGTCCTGAAAAAGTCTCCAAGCTTTCTCCATGAGGATGTTTCACAGCGTCAACAAACTCAACTCACAAAGCAGATGCGCTAACCAGCTCCTCAGACACTGAGTCGACTCCCTGCTCGCTGTTTGCTCACATGAACTCAATAAAATAAACAAATCATTCAACTCTTCTAGAGTTTTTAAATGTTAATAGAATGAATGTTTCACATTCTGATGATAATAGTAATTAGAGTCATTTCACTGTGACATATTACATGACAGTAATAATTTGATTTCTATGCTATCAATCCAAAAAGCCCAGCAGCCTTCTCATACAGTGACATAACAACATCTCCACAGAGAGTTGGGGTATTTTCAAAGTATGTTTTAGAAAAGCTCGTTTCAAGAGGGGGAAAATTATGGTTTAATCCAATAAAAAACAAAGTTTAAAGTTACAGCCTTGGAGCTGAGCAGCAGCCCTAAATCCTCCTACTGGTGGTTTCATGTGTCCATTCTTAGCGCTGCCCTTAAAAACGAGATACTGCATCTCAAGGGGCTATCCTTTAAATAAATTAAAATTCATTTATGTTGCAGTTGTGCAGCAGTCTGTTACAGGTGCCATTTTAGATATATGACTTCTGACGGATGACTTTTGTCTCCTCCCTAAATGCTTGTGTGGGATAATTATTGATTTATTTCAGCATTTTTTAAAAATGACTTGTGTGAGCATTTTACTGCTAACAGAAACAGTCATCCAGCTCATGTGATGCTAACACAACTTTCTAATAATCAGTTGGTTTACTGTTGAATTAACTCAGTCATTTTGGTGTTTTTACTTTCACTGATTATTATATTTGTACTTAATATATATAGGATATATTAGGTACAAATATTTTTTTTACATTCAACCACTTCATCCACTATATTTTTGAATAAGAGCTACCAATATGGTATGGAAATAAATCCTAAAGGTGGATTAGGAGCCAAACAGAAAGATAATGACTTTGTGATGTAAATGAATATTGGTTGGACCTTTTAAGAAGCGCCGCAGGTTTGATCTCGGTGACACACTGACCGTCTCAGCTTTAATCCTGCGCAACACACACTGACACACAAACACACTGACAACACGCCATATGGTGAGGAAATCAGATTCTGTCCAGAGAGACAGACAGGCAGTCAGACAGACAGGTGCGGAGACAGCAGTTCAGTTCAGTAGGTTACAGCAGGTATGTGGCCAGATGGCCCGCTTAGTGCGTGTGCCTTTGTGTGTATCCATCTAAAAGCTGGTGGAGCATCTCAGTAAAGGAGCTTGATGGAAAAATCTGGTTATTTTTAAAATTATTTTAGTTATTTCTATGGTTTGTGCTGCGTTCAAAGGCTGTAGAAAAATAAAACCGTAAGCAGTGTTTGGCGTGGAAGCCATTTTTTACCACACACATAAAAAGAATCTGAGGAAACGTTGATAATGTTTCCTCAGATTCATTTCAATCCCCTGAGTTATTAATCGGCTTCACACATTCTGTTAATTAGCCGTATTTTAGACTGTGTGTATTTGTATGTCTCATTTTGTATGGATAAAAACCACAAAATGTACAAACGCATAGTAAGGTTACAAAATTATTCATTTTCAGTGTGAAGGCTTGGAGCAAGAGTTGTGTGATGTCCTCTGAAGTGATGGAAACACAGCTGTGTGTGTGCTGCATCCTAACTGTTTCTAATGAATCGTTTAAAGGGTCTTCTCTCAGTGTGCTGGTGTCTCTCTGCCTGCAGGTCACCTGCAGCAGGTGGACATGTGCAGCTTCTCGTCTCATGGCCAGTTGGTGTGCTTCGGTTTCTCTGCCATGTTTGGCTTTGGCGGGCGGAGTTTAGCGAGGGCAGAAAAGAAGAGATGGATGCCATCGTCACGACGGCGAGAGTATGCTCTGGTTAAGACGCTGGCTAGGCTGAGGTGACACACACACATATAGAATTTTTACTTTTAAATGTAAATGTGCGTTCCTAAGGCCTCAGTCACACAGACATGACTGACTGACCTCAGTGACCCCATAGCAACCACTAGTCACTAAGGAAAACTGTTTTCCATGACTGTTTGGTTGCTGGAGGTTGTTAGCTGTTGCTGAGTGAAACTGGTCACAGTGCTCCACGGTGCTTGTGATGCTTTTGATTGCTGGAAGGTTGCTGAGGTCACTCCTAGTATGTATGGATGACACTGATTTCTCTGCAAAAAAATTGTCTGTTTCCTATTAGCATCCCATTTTTATCATTTCGCTAAAGCTAGAGTCTGTGTCTTCCATGTGGCAATCTGATAGCAACACAAGTAATCACAAGGTGATTTTTGGTGCATCACTTTCTTTGCCACCATTTTCACATGCTTAAAGCAAGCATCCTCCAGCAACCACTCATAAAAAACATATTTTTCCTTAGTGACCGGAGGTTGCCAACGGGTTGCCAACTGGTCTCTAAGTGTGACTGAGGTCTAGCTAGGTCTAGGACTAGCTGGTTTCTTATTTCTTTTTTTCTCTGTCTCCCTCAGACCGGAGGACTGTCAGCTCTCCTTTTTATCAGCAAGGAAGTCAAACAGCAATTTGTTTGTACAGCGGTGAGAAACACGCGCACACACAAACACGCACATACGCTCTGTGATGTTGGATGGTACATCTAAAGTGTCTTCAGACCACCATAAAAAACAATATGCATTTGTTTAAACAGGTTACAAGCACTCAGAGGAGACTGTAATTGTTCCACACCAACAGTGTTTGTTAGTTTACTGCGCTGTTACATTTACTCAGCAGCTGAACCAGAAAGGCAAACACACCACGTAACAGCTTGTCTACTACAGAGACTTGCAGCACAAATCTACCAGAAACAAACTCAACGCAAATTTATTAAGAACAGTGTGGAGGAGAGCCTGTTTGAGTCAAAGCTGTTGTTTTACCATGATTAGTTTAATAACTGGCTCTGCGTTTGATGATATTGGTCCGTTATATAAATTTTCTCTTCTGTCATGTTTGAAAAATTAACTTGATTTCTTGCTTCTCAGAGATAAGGACCAGGACCAAGACCAGGACCCAAAGTCCGGTAAAACCACTACTTCTCTATTAAAATGGACAAATCAGATTTTAATCGCTACCAGCTACTCTCTGTCTTACTTTTTCTTTCTTTGATTTGTGTGTACAGAGGGGGAGGAGTCCTGGGTGACCAATCAGGGCCTGTATCTGAGCATCAGCATCATGTCTATCCCTTGCCTGAGTCCACACGCACCTCAAGGACTAGCTCCAAACACCAGGTACACAGTGTACGAAGATTAGCTCGATCTTCTGCTCTTTGGCCTTGAATGCATCACAGTGCACGTTAATACATGATGATGTTTCTAATAATGCTAACAGTCTCCACCACTTCCTGATTTTGACAGTTTGGCAAATGGCAGTGCAGCGCTGATTGCGGTCGGAAACACCTCCAGGTCCGAGTTTATTAAACACCTAAAGAGATACAGCAGCTCTACTGGACAGGTGAGAACACCTGCCAGAGGTGAAAATAACATGAATCAATTTATTCCATTCAAATACTCACTAAAACCTTTAGCAGATCTTTTAAGGCTCAGGAACTGAACATTTGCAATCTAAAATCTAAAATATTCACAACTAAGGAATGTCGGAGTACGATAGCAACCTTTTTTTCTTTACAAACTCCCAGTTTACTCAAACAAATATCCATTTTTTTCTGTCTGGTGCAGTTAAAGTTCAAGTGTTTGTAATTTCTCATTGTGAAATTGCAAATGATTTATGGATTTCATCATCTACAGTACATATTACTATTAAAAGAATTTTTAAAAATGGGGCAAATCTTTGTACACAAGAAAATAAACTAAAAACACAGAAAAACCTGCAGAAATCAACACTTCCAAGACTGTTCTGAGTGGACATTGTGCGTCAGTTAAACTCTACTGTGCAAGAAAAGCAAAGACGACATGTTGATGTTATCATGATGGGCTTAGTTTAATTGCACAGAGCTGGTGCAGTGTGTAGATTATGCTGATGACAGCCTCAGCTGTTATATATGTTTCCACCCAGATGTTTTCTACCGAAGAGAGCAATTTATTGTCGTGGGAACTCACTCTTGACTTCAGGGTCACACAAGCACTTTGACTCGGGACAATTTTGTGATTGTGTTACAGTCGATTAATGGCTGTTGATTATACCACAATCCCTCAACGTTCACAACACCTAAAGACTCTAGAAGATGGGAAAGTAGGTCCCAGTTTTAAAAATACCACAGTTTTCCTTGAAGTTAGTGAGTAGATTAGCCTGGTTCAGCATGACCTGGTCTGGGCAGAGAGACTGCACACTAACCCACTTACTAAATATACGGGCAGTGTGGTGTTCAGACTTGGAGTAAACAGGCTGTTTACTGACTGGCCTACATCCTGCTAGCGTCCGTCCTGACATCTCAGCAGAAAGCACGCCAAAAGTGGATGCTCAAGTGGAGCTGCCCACATGTGACCCTTACAGTTTATGTCCTACTGTGGACTTTAAACCTCTCCTGTCACTTGTGTGATGTAGAGTGTGTGAAAAACTGAATACACCTTTATTAATCTGATGATTTTATCAAAATAATTTTAAAGTTTCAGTGCTTTTTGGTGCAAATCCTCCTGTGTGTTGGTAT